CTTTAATAGGACTGAACAAGTAAACAAACAAAAGAAGGAATATGTTTACAGTTAATGAAAGGGCTCTTTTGTGGAGGGAATCCCAGTCAAAGCCTGCAAACATGAAAAAGCAAAGTTCAAAATCTGGTGTTTACAGGGCGTGAAAATGTTTATAAATGGAATATTTAATATAAATAGTTCCGATTTAGACCTTCAATCATTTAAGGAATTAGGGATTAAAATCCACATTAAAATCCTCAGTGAAATGAAATCTTTTATTATCATTGAACTCTTGAAAATTAAATATATATATTCTTTAAAAATATAATGTATTTTTATTCTTTGTTTGTATTTTAAAAGCCAAATATTCAAGTGGCCTTGAACACAATTTCACCTGTTACACCCCTACCAAAAACTGCTACCAAAAATTACTAGCATAGATGAAAGCTTCAATTTAAAATAAATATGTTTTTCATTATTTTTATGTTAAAAAGCTTTATGTTTAAAGCTGATCTATTTTTTATTGGAATGTACCCACCTTGGATTTAAAACAACTAGCTAGATTGAGCACAATTCTCCGCCTAGGGGACACAATAAAATATTTATTTGTTCAAAGTTAATTTGTGCTCAGTAAGGGTAATTATACAATCAATATGTACTGTAAGGTGCCATGAATAAATACTTTCAATTGCCATTCAGGGAGTAAATAGGAAATTATATGTACAGATCTTAATTGGGATTATTATAAAGAAATAGACTAGGCTTTTTATTCACTGGATGTCTAATACAATTATGTTATAGAAATTTAAAAAAATTACCACTGCCTAAAAAGTGCAGCACAGAAAGCAAGAGAGATGTACTGTAAGTGTTTTGGGTTGTATTGTAGGACCCAAAGTGTTGTGAATCATTCAGCTGAACACCTGTTGCTTTGAATCTGTTAATTACTCTTCTCTCCCTGATTGAGCACCTGTGCAGGCTGAGCTTTTAGAGTTCAGAAGTTCATGCTGTTCAGCTCAGTTTGTCTTGGGTATCAGCACATCAACTCTTACCTCACTGGCAGTGATTAACCACGTGTGGCCTTCAGAGAAACTCTTGTTTACAGAAGGAAGCTGCTATTTGGATGGAAAGACAGGAAAAAGGAAGTTTGACTTTTTGAAAATGACAGAAAGGGTAAGTAACTACTGTATATGTTGCCATGTTTTTTTTCAGTTAATTTAAAATTAATAATAATAATAATAGTTATTATTACAGAGTAATACACATTTAATGATGCAGCAGAATTAAGAGATTTCACGATGGCTTTAAGCTGCAAATGTCTTCACTGCCACGTACAGTGACCTTAAGCAGAGGTCAGAGTGTCCTAGCCGTGGTCTTTGTGAAGTACAGTAATAAGACTACCAATTAGGCTTTTTGCATTGTTTTCTTCTACACATTTTCAGTCAAAGTAATATATTAATATTTGTAGGTAAATGCAACTGGAAAGCCCTGTTTTAAATTATAATGGGCAAATAACTGCGTAATGCCACCATCACAAAATGTATTGTTTTCAATGCCTTAAAGGGATAAGCTGTCTTCGTTTTAAAGGGATTTGTTTTCTCAGTGCAAGAACCCGGGAAAGGTTTTTACGCTGCTGTTTTTGAAGATACTCTAGCATCTTAAAAAAAAAAAAGGTTTTGGGCATGGCATGATTCTGAGCCGAACATTTCATGTGCAAAACTGGCTATAAGAGGATTTAAGTGAAAGTTACATTTTGATTGCTATTTAAATTACATATATACACATACAGTACCTACAGTATATACAGTATACTGTATGTGTGGAATATTACACAGAGATAAACTGCACCAATAGAATATTTGCTTTTGCTTTGGTAAACTGCCAAAAGCACGTCCATCATATCCATTGACATGACTAAACATTGGAAGTGAAGCAAAACTGCCTGGGTATATCCAGTAGCTTTGCCTTCTGAGGATATGTCTCTCCTCAAGCTGAGTGACTGCCTGTTAACCTTACATGCAGTACAGTAGCCAACCAATAGGACTGAAAGAGTCCCTGGGGAGCTGGTTCCCATGTCTCTTGGAGGATATGTTTGGTCTTCTTTCCCAGTCAGTAAATGTCTTTCCTGAAATGTTTTCTTCTTAACTGCATTTTAAGTGTGGCTTCCAATGGAATTTTAAACTCCTGCCCTCATCCCTGCAGCTTTTCTCACTTGATGAATTCAAATGGGAGCTTGCTAAAACTGAAACCTGAAGGACGAAGGTACCCAACAGCTGGGATATTATGAGAGATTTGCATAATATGTGCGTCTCCAGTCATTTTCCACCTGATCATCAACTTGTACTGATTAGCTACAAGCCCTAGATGCTGGAAAAGGTGAAACGCTGCCTCTGTGCCAGCCAAGTCTCTTACAAACTGCTGAGCACCAGTGGGCCATATCATTGCCGAATATCTAGATTACACATCTCCGCCTGTATGCAGCCCCAGATTCCAACTGGAATCTAAGGATCTAAAGGGAGCAATTGCAATAGAAGTGCTTCTTCTGTGTGCTGCCGAAGAACATTACCTTAAGCGTAATCGCTGAAATGCATGAACCTGTTGCCACTTAGCGGGCTCTGTGAGAGTCGGGAGTCATATTGATTTTGCTGTAGGGCTGCGTTCCGAAGTCACAGCACTCTTGTCACCCGCGTCGGCACATCTCTTCGCCTCGGACAGCCCACAAAGGGGAGGGCTCCGAATTGAGGTGTGTGCAGGCAAGTGGAAGAGAAAACCTGACTAACGTGACGGTACAATGCCACGAGTTTCCTACAGACGGAGGAACAATTCTCAACAGAGAAGCGCATGAGAACGTCAGTGGTCGAGCAGACGGTCATTCAAAATGGATTACGGGTATAAAGAGTGTCTAGATGAATAAGGGGTCTTCTAAACTCCACTGTGCATGGAGAGTTGATTCCATTTACTTTGTGAACTTAGGCGCTCTTTAACCTTCAAGACTACTGTACTGTACCTTAAAAATCCAGCTGCGGAGTCAGTCAAGTCACTCAAATGAGGCTGTATAGACGCAGAGTAAGGGTGCAGTTCTAAGGCCTGGGCATCATTGGTTTGGGCCTGGTTAATGTCTCCGATTCCCAGGTGTGTACTAGCTGGCCAGGGTCACTCTGACGTTAAGTGAAAATGGCACCTTCTGTCACTTGTCTGGCATCTGTGGGCTGACAGTGATTCAACGAGGGACGTGCCGCTCCTCTAATCAGTCCTAACATCCCTCTAAGACAAAGAGGCACTTGAATTGTGTAAAAAATGAGTTGCTTGAACAGATGGGTATTTCAGCGGGGTTTGTCTGCGGGTCTGCATTCCCAAAGTTGGATTCATTTGTAAAAAAAAAAGAATGTCCTACCTTAGCAGTTTCAATTTCAATTTGTACAGCTCTTATACGCCTTGACCTATTTAATTAGTTTTAATTATTTGACAAGAAATTTTTCTGTTCTTCTTCCATCCAGGCCTGACAATGCTGTGTAGCTAATGTACCTCAAATCAAGTGCGTAGCTTATATCTTCAGTAAATGACTTGCCAAAAAAAATGTTCATTTGATTCCAGTTAAGCCCTCAATTAACTTGTCTAATTACAGGCTCAATTTGGGAAGAAACACACAACTTCTCCTGCAGCTGGGCTGATACCCTTGCTTACTGTACGTGTCTTAACAGCAATGAGCTTCTTTCTGGCTCAATTATAAATTTTCCCTTCTTAATCGTTCTGAGATAAAAACAATTCAAATCCCAGATTTTGAGTAAAAGTGAACAGTATAATAGTCCATCCTTTAAACATTTTACTCATTGCAAGCACTTATTTAAAAGTAACATTTTCATAACATTTTGCACCTAGAAAGAAATGCATACAATTGAAACTTTTTTTCAAGGATGAATCCATCTGTGCCATGAACATTTCATTTTATACACGTCTCTGCCTTTGATGAAAGCCAGAGAACAGTCACACAATATATGTTTTAGAGTTCTGTACTTCTTTTCTTTGTTCTTTGTTTTCTTGTGTCACCAGCGGGTGTATTTCTGCAGTGGTGATAGTCCTTTACGTGGAAAAGGTAAGACAGAGCAGTTTTGGTCTGTGATTCAGAAAGCTTAGGGTGTAAAATCTAGGAGCTACAGTATATTATGAAAGAACATATCCTTAAAGCAACATATATTTATTGTTAAAAGGTATAGGAGTTTAAAAATCTTAATATTAGAATCCAATTGAGAGAAATTAGAGTAATTTCCCTTAACTTTAAGTATATAGCATGAAGTAATCTAGTGAAATGGCCTGTCCATGATATAATTTCTATAAATGTCTGAATAATGCATGAATGCACTTTTCACAAAGTGTACAGTATGTGCAACCAGTTGGCAAAGGCTTTTGTTAAAATTTTAATTCACGCTGGAACTTGGAAAGTCAGAGGTCCAATAATAAGAGCATGTGGTGAACAACCAGATTGTCCAGACATTTGTTGCAAGATGCAAGTGAATATTTATACCTGGGTCTTAAATTACAAGAGCTTTAACATGACCAGGTGTAGCTTCTATTCAATGGTTCAAAATTGGACCTCTGTCCTACAGAGTGAAGAAATTGAATGGGAGCTCTTCAGCACAGTGGTCTATATTTGTCATTGGAATTTGAGCAAATACAGTATGCTGATGTCATTAACATTTAACTAAATTTCAATACTTTTTCTTTCTCATCAAGCTTGCATTTCTTATATACTGTACTGGTTCATGTCAAATTTAGGATGTGTACCTTTCTGCAGATTTTGATTTATTCATTGTATAAGTTATTGAAAATATTTTGTTGTTCTGTATGTGGTGCGTTTGAATATTTAAATGTGTCTTTACATTTTCATTTGGTATTCTTCAGATTTTTTTGATGTTTGTGCAAATAAAAATAATCTGAAAATAACTTCTGTATAGATTGTCATTTGAATCCAATGACCAGAATGCCTCGCATTAAATAACGTCTGTGTAATAAGAAAGTCAGTAGCATTTAAAAAAGTTCATTAAACTTTATTACACTGCACAGTTACAACCATCTCTTACTCATTCTCAAATAGAAAAGATACAACTATGCCATAACATGCACAAAATTAAGTTAGTATGTTCATTTTTGGCATTTGCCAAGAAGAGTCATGAAACATTTACAATTTATTTAAATACTCTACACAGCCTTACCAGAACAAAATACTGTATGAAATATTGTATATATATTTTTTTATATATAATACATTTTTAATGCATGTATCATCGAGAATGAATGTAGTCTGTTCTGAAACAAGGCATTTCTTAAGGAGAATGATATGTTATCTTTTATAGAGTCTTCTGGACAAACACCCTTTCATCAAAGTACTTTAACAGGGCACAAATGGACACCCACACAGTTGTCATTTAGATAAGAGCAGCTTTTGTTGAGTTGTGACCAACATCATGTCAGAGCTATAGGCAAAAGGACAAGACAGAATTCCGCGAGAGTGATGGAGAGTAATACTGTATGTGTGATTTACGTGCTGTAGATGATGGGGGTTTTACTTCATTCTCTGTTATAACCCAAAAGAATTAACCAATGTCAGTTCAAGAGACCTGTTTTTTTACAGAAACCATACATAACGGTGGACATTGTTATTTACAGCTTTGATAACATTATGACTTTTTGGAACCATTTCTCATACCTGAATGGTCTGAGACAAAAGCAAAGTTTATGGAGACATTATTCACATTGGTGTGTGAACAAAACAGGATGATGGAACTCCACAATATATTTCTTGGTTTGAGGACCAAACCATACATATACTGGAACTTTTCCAAAACAAGAAATCGAGCCTTCATAATAGATTTAGAATTCACAACATGACAAAGATACATAACTTTCATACAAAACTTAGTATTCTATCTTAATGCTTATAAGTTTTACCATTGTTGTTGGCTTACTCTAGTATACATTGGCTCATTACATTGTCTTTCTGTACTACTTCATTTTAAATAAACACATGAAATTAAGGCACACTTAGCTTTGCTAGCATGATAAAGAATGTTGTATAATTTTTATAACATGGCTCCGTTGTTCATTACTGAAACTCTTGATCTAGTTCTCAATACTAAATACATAATAGAACTGATGGAATAACTATAAAAATATTTCTGAAAAGCAAATGTACAAACTGTATTACATGCAGATTACACATCACAGATGTGTTGTCTAAATCAGTTAGATGAGCCTGTCAGTTGCAATGCAACCTAAAGGATTAATTTCAACTTTGCACATACAGTTTTTATTCTTTATGCCCAATAATAGTTAATCATGCTCCGCAACAAAAGAAACAGTCATAACTCACAACGCTGGTCTGGTTGTAGGTGAACTGGGGCCAGCAAGGAGCGAACTTCGTACTGTATCTTTGCAGTCTGGCCATTAGGACTTGTTGTATATTAAAATAAATCTGTTTTTCTCACATGCTACTGTAGATGTCTTTTCAGAACAGCAACGTATTAGTGCTGCTTGGGTTTGGGGGGAATGGGTATGTAAGGCTAGTGCCTGTATTAAAAACTCATATACTTTACAGTACTATATTAGGTAGCAGTTTTTATGTTTCTGAAAACAAATCTACATACCATGTTTTTGAGAACCATTCTGCAATATAATAACATTACACACCAAGAGTGGTGAGTCTAACTGCATAAGTTGATCTAGCAAATTCAGGAAGTCAAAAGGTCCTGCTTTGTATTGTAAACACTCTCCCTCACTATTCCATGGGTACTCATGCACCGCAATGCACAGAAACCTAACCAACCCCCTTGCTTCCAGGTTGGAATGAGTAGTAAGCAAAATGTTTGAGAGGTATTATTCTCTGTAGCATGCTAGTAAAGTCAAGCATTCCTTTAAGGGACTTTCAACCACAAGAGTCTAAGCAAAAAAATGTGGCTTCAGTAGCCAAATTCACAAATGTAGAATTTTATGACTTGATTCAAGTTGGCTGTGCAAGTACAGTATGAGAAGGTCTTGTCTGCTAGCATCGATAGGGATTGATGTTATAGCTGCTGTGGTCAGTGACATCTTACAGCAAGTGTAATCAAATATTGGATCTTCCGTGCCCTATACAGAATTTACTGTATGTAACCATGTCTTTAATTCTTTAACATCCAAATTAATTCAATCTTTAAAACATGTTGTATCAAAGATTTACACTAGAGTGGATAGGAAGATCTATTGTTTGACTAATGCTGACATACTGTACAGCATATGCTGTTGGTATATTATGACAATTACATGTAATGAAATGTTTTGTATATTGTATTTCAGAAAAGCAAGTTTTTTTAAATGGTGTTTTTATCACCCAAGGCCTTACCAAAACAGAGTCGACAACTGCTAACTTTGGGCCAATAGCTCTTGACACTTTTGAAGCATTAGCTTTTCCTGCTCAATGGAGTAGGATCTTTTCAGACGCATCCTTGGCCCAGTTGCCCTGTGCATTAGTCTTTGCTACAGTTGCCAGTGCTTACGGAGGGCAATGCACTCCCAAGATATGAAGCCTAATTCCAGTCTTCACGCTCCATAAAACGGCCTTGTCTCTTCTTTTGTGTTTGTTTGAGTGCTGCTCATGGCCATTATCAGTGCTTTCTGGAAGGAACCCAAATTCATCAGAAAGGTGTTGATTTTTATTCTAGTAAGGCTTTGTAAGGGTGATCATCTGTACCAGTGAATGATTTTGATTAATTTTATATAAATAAGGATATTAAAGGTGCAGTCTCTCATTATATGTACAGAATGGCAGCAGATACCATAGAATTATTCCAAAGAGAGCTTACTGTCGAGCAACAGATGTCCCCATTACAGTAGCGTTTGGCTGTGTGGCACTGGCGTCAGTTGTGAAACTGGGAGGTGGTGAAGTTTTGTGTGTCATGAGATAACCCCCCCGGACACAGTTCAAGCTGAGCTCAGTGACTGCTCGTTAAAGGAGACTTGTGGACTAAAATGCTAATGGCAGAAACTGCTGAAATTAAATACAAAGACACTGCACCTTCATCTTAATTTTCCATTTACTGTATATACAAAATATTAACACACAAGAAGCTACCATTAGACTTTACATTACATTCCAGACATTTTTTTTGTAATTTATTTCCATTTTTCGTTCTTACAATATTATTCAGACTATTAAGAGTGAGCACCCTAACAGAATACAATAAGTACCCACTTAATTTGCAGTTACTGTAGGAATGGAATTGTGGGTCTGAAGGGCAAACACTGACCAATACTTATTTTTTGCCTTTATATGAATAAAAAACACTTAAAACCACATATTATATCCATGTAGTACTGCCCATGTCAAAGCACTTTCTTAATGTGATCTGCTGTACATTACAGTTAAACTTTGTGCTCACACTAAAACAAATTACCAGCACAAGCACAACCATTTCTGCCACATTCTGCGTTCATTCCCTATTCGGCTTTCTAATTTTTTTTTTCCGATTTTCTTTTCACCAGCTTCCAAATTATGATCATATATTACCTCGATTAAAAGAAAATAAGATCAAGAGCCTAGAAGCAAACCACAGCCTTGCAAGCTAGGTAACACCTTGCTGTGACCTCTGTAACTCTCACTTACTGTATCTTCTGCTTCAACCTGTATTCGATAAGAGAAGAGCAGCCTTTGTCTTGAACACCTCTGTCAGCAAGTAAACTTAGCAGAGCTGACAAATGACTTTAGACAAAAGCAGTTTAAAATAACTTCTCCCATGATAACACTTTTAAATTATGGATGGATACATTATGTAGTGCATTATTATTTTTGTATATTGTTGCATTTAATTCTGAATGGTATTTGACACTGCTATTCATTTTAGAACAGTTTTTTAATGAATTGTCACAAGTTATGCATGGAATTGTTAGGTATTGATATCAGGATCATGTTAATGTTTTGCTACATACAACTGTCAAAGAAAACATTTCAAATGATGAAAATGAAGCAGATTTCATTATATGTAAGGTGTTTTTGTTGCTTATTTTATTAGGCTTTTGTGTGTTTTGATACAGTTGGTGTACAAGTTTCAGATGGGTAAAACAGATGTTTCTGCTCTAGTACTCACCCTTTTTATTATTTAAATTTGGATTATATTTACTTTATTTTACAGAGAGAAAACAGGACAGGACACATTGCTGATCTGAATAAAACTGCAATATTAAGCAAAACCATTTGACAAAATAATGAACATGAGGCTCAAGATTTGTTTCGTTTTGCTTTTCTGTTTTCCTTAAAAAATTAGATTGGAGAGCCACACATTCTATAGTTATGCCTAAAGTCAGTAACCCCTCCCACCACCCCTCAAAAAAATAAAAGAAACACTGAACCAAAACACTGCCAATTTTACTGTGGGGCTGAATACTAAAAAAATTGCAAAACATCTCTTTTTGGTGGGTTTCCACTGCTCGTTTGGAACTAAAAGTCTGTCGTACTGTAATGCTGAAGAGGCTGGATGCTGTCACTGCTGCATCAAAACTTGAGAAAGTACTGCAAAATGATAGTCAAGAGTAGGCTGAGCAAGTTGTGTGGAGAAAGTGCTGCGCTGTTCACATCATGAACTGCTCCTGGTCCTGCAGGTGTTGAAGAAAAAGAAAAGCAATTAACCTCTGAGCTATGAAATGAGAGGAGAACACAGACCACATAAATCTGCTGTATGCTGCACAATCTGTACAGCGCTCCATTTCAGCTCCCATTTCTTATTCCTTCATCTCATTCTTACTTCATTGGTGGTTGTGTAACCTCCTTCCCTTTCCCCACACCCAAATTAATTGTTATTCCTATTTCAGCCAAGAAATGCAGTGGTTTTTACCAGGAAACCTGGCAGTCAGCTCCCATCCACATCAAAGAATTAGTCAAGTGTTCGGATCTGATCACCATGCGTTTTGATCCTGTCTGAGGTCAACATTTTGAGCGTTTCTATCGCGGCCCTGAAAACTCTCTGGAACTGGCAATCTTCATGATCTCTCACCCTCTGCACACCCACATTGTGCTCTCCAAACCTGTTGGTATGTTTGTTCATTTATCTGCTGTACTTTGCCAGTTGCTCCCATCTTGTTCAGACCCGTTCTCTGGTATATTTAAAACCCGCCAGTGCTTTTCCTCCTCAACATTATGATGTCTCTTGAAAAGCTAGGTGAGAAATCCTTTGTTCACTCTCTTCTTGTTGTGCTTCTCATTGATCAGTCTGCTGTTACAATCCCTCTCTCTCAACACTGAGCTTTCCAGTGTAAAAGTTTACTTCTCAAAACCAACTTTTTCTCCCCCCACTCCCCCCCAAAACAAGAGGCACGGTCAGTGACAGTTTGAAGAATGGTCTTTAAGTGGGCAGAGCAAGGCCGTCTTCTTTCAGCTGGTCACTCCGGGGTATTGTAATTGTAACCATCAGGTGACTCCTTCGCAAATGCCTTTCTGAGGTGCAAGGTTTTATAACCTCATTTTAGGAAAAAAAAAGTACTGTCTGGGCAATTATCCACAAAAAAGGAGCCTGTGTCACGATATTGTTTGCAGGAATGAATGCGCAGGGTTTTTGATTGACTATTTTAATCACAAGCAGTTAAGTCTGTCAGGCTTTTTCAAGGGTTCATTTTTATACTGAACGGCACCTTGACATGGCTGTGCCACAGTAAACGCTTCAGAATTCTCTGCTATTGTTTCCTTTTGAAGGCAAATTTGGGTCCAAATTGCATTCATTAGTTGCTAAGTTACTGCGTGTCACAAAATCAGTTATTTTATCCCCTTTAGTTGTTTTTTTCATGAGACACGACATGCGATGAATCATTTTACCCCTCGTGTTTAAAATTATTTGTTTAGTTTGCGTTGGTTTTGTCTTTCTACTGTGGGCAGGACCGAGTTGTGGAGCTTAAGTTGGTGCTGCTCAGTTGTCCTCCTTTTAAAAGGGACTGCCGCTGTGGGCTTGATAACCTAAAACCTGTATTTCAGCCACGCAGGAGACCCTTTCAGAACTCTTACATTAAAAGGGGACTTTGCGTTCCAGTCAAAAATTGTTTCAGGGCGCTACCCTGCGGCCTCAGTGCGCAGATCCTGTAAAGTGGTGATAATGACATTCTGGACCTCCTGCCGGTTTCCTTCTTTGAAGGGAACTGCATCTATTCCAACACACTGCTCAAGGAAGACATTTCTGCCAGCCAATTAGAATGGAGTTCAGCGCTGAGTCACTGTCGAATACACGCCTTTCGTTAGCCAAATACCGCTCCCTGGGTGAAGGCCAGGCCCACGTGCTTGTCAACTGGGGGGGATTTTCAACTCAAACTTTTCATTTTTCTCCAGTTCTTAAATCCATGTTCAGAGTTGAAGATAAAAAGTGAATGTAAAAAGTGATTGATAGCGTTCTGTATGTGGGAAGAGCAGCTCCTTTCAGAGACCACAACTGATATCGGAGCTGCAACTGTAAGGGTTCCCCCCGGCACCAGTGAGCTCGACTATGACACAAGCCTGGGTCTTCAACCGTGGGAGCATTCGGTTCTACTCTGGCTCCAAGAGGGTGACATTACTATCTCTAACAGGCCTAAGTACCAACAAGCCCTGTAACATCTGTCCTGTTCTAAAATACATGTATAAGTTGTGTACAGTACAATACCCTTACCATACAAAATGATGCTTGCATTTGTGATTCCCATCATGTTCATTGCCACGCAGGTGTAGTTTCCGTAGTCTTCTTCAGACACATTGAAGAAAATTAGCATGGATTGCCTGCCCTTGTTCTCAATTTTAACCCCATTCAGTCCGTTGGAGAGCCTGGAATAACGACACACCGTTGTAACGCCAAGGCAGTTCAGAACCAGCACCTTTTCAACACAGTAGGTTTCGGCAGGCGTGTGGTCCATTCCGGTCATCACGGCAAAACCCAGACAGAGATGGTTTATAGAATGAGGGGGGAGTGGCGTCAGTGTGCAAGAGCAGAGGTTAATTCCACACTGAAAAGCAGGTAGACAGTGTATGATGCTTTGGCAACTTTCTCTGGCACGTGGAGGTGAACGGGGCAGACTGAACAGGTGGGAAAACACAGGGAGAGATGAGAATGGGAGGGGAGGGGGACAGGTGAAAATAAGAGGATAGAGATGGGAGTCCCGGAGGCAAATTCAAAAATTCCATTTCTTTATTCCCCTCATCACCTGCACCCTCAGGCCTTCTTATTGCTTTTTCTGCCTTCGACTGGAATTTGAAATTGAAGAACGTTCCACTGGTAAAACATTGTTTTGCTTACTTTTCGTTGCTGCTGTATATTAACCTCTGCCTGTCCGAACTGAAACAGCATTCATGTCAGACGCCGGGGGCATGTTGGAAAAGACAATGTATGAAAATACTAAACATGTATACTTGGAATTTCTTCACTGAGGATAAAAACAACTAGGGAATGAATAATTAAAAACAGTATGTGGAAGTGATGGTTGGTCTCAGTGCTTTACATTTTTTGGATTATTTAAATTAAATCTAATTATGTGTGATGACTGGAATTGATTAAATGTTGAGTATGCCCTGAAGTAAACCTTTTTAAATGTGTGAACATCTGTGGTGTATTTTATACTCTTTGCATTTCAAGAACTTAACAAGTTAAGTGTGATATCTGGTGCATGGTTTGTGTTCAGTGTTAATTTCCTTATTTTTGTTGGTCTTCATACTTCATCACAGCTTATTTTTGCAGTGTTATGTGTGAATTTTTGTTTTGCACCTGAAGGTGTTTTGACACACTTGTGGAAAATTAATTGGGTAATCTATTGTCTAATTGAGCTACTTTGGACATATGAAGATGCTCATGGGGAAAAAGCGGAAATATTTTTTATGGAAATATACACCTGTATTCTTTTTCTAATTGCAGTGCAGTACAAGAAGAAAATTCTTGTGCTTCTAACGTGTGAAAATGTAATTGGAATGGCTGTTTGCTCATGCTTTTTATATGGAAAGGGCAATTTTTCAAATTGGATTTTGGATGTTTCCTACAATTTAATGTTATCGATTGTCAAGCCTAGAATGAAATCTATCAATCCAGCTATTTGCAACTTTTATTATTTTCCTTGATAATTGCAGTGCTATTCATAATGTACTGTACTTTTAAAGTTTATGTGATGGTTTCATTTCAGAATATTTAAAATAACATTACTTAGTTTTTATGCATAACACTTTTTTTAGCTGATGGATACAATTCAAATGCTAATACCTGTACCTGTAAATGGCCGCTTTCTGCCTTCCAAGACTTATAAACTGTCCTCACAATAAGATCCACTCTACTCTTTCTTTAAGAGGCAATGCTTGATTTTTCTTTTCACTGTTTGTGCAGCTTTACTGTAAATACGATGGCGATTGATTTGCTGAATAAAATACATAAAGACATTTAGGGATATTTTTTACAGTCACAATATGGTGCAGAGATTACTGTATGCTGATTTGACAAATGTGCAAATGAGGATAACCAGGCTATACTTCTCTATGACTCTGTACTTGCCTTCGGTCTTCTTTATACCATTCAAAATCAGCCACAGGGACAGCTGAAGCTTCACACTCAAGAACCCCTTTCTGACCCAGAGGGGCTCCTCTGCTTCTGGCATGAAAAATGTAAGGTGGATCTGTAAGACATGTCCAATTCACATAACACACGGTGATGATGATGCTGGTGATAACTACTGCTACTACTGCAGGCAGTGTTACTGCTAGTGCTACTAGTGACCAATAATTACAGTACCCATGCTAAAGATAAATGAGAATAAGATTGGAGCCTTTAGCAACTACTGTACCAGTTAGTTTTGATTATATATTGTACACCTCCAACTTGGAACTGCTGGCTGTGTGCCCTTTACTCTTCTAAGTTCCCGGCTTCAAGTTCTGTAACCACACACAGGCGAGAATGGGAACGGGGTGCAAGTCCCTCAGCAAGAGCAAAGCAACCCTGCAACGTGCCTGGGAAGCCTTGGGGTTCACTGCATCGCTGGGTACTGAGATACCCCTAGCTGGCCAATACCCCCCCCCCCCAGGCAGTGATTAGCCAATTGTTGTGGCTTGCTGATTCCTGGTTATAGCCACTAGTAACGTCATGCAGGTTCGATCCTAACGTTCAACCTAGCGTTGATCCAGCGCCTTGGATCCTAGTGTTCAACCTTTACCGGTTCAGCCACTCAGAAGCTGAAAGTTGGATTTAACTCCGTAATCATGGGTCATGCTTCATTTATAAGGAGCCTCATGTCAGTCAGCCTAAGACCTTCATGTACAGTAAGCTACACACTTTGCTAGACTAAGATTTTATTATTGGTACTACAGATATTTCCAAAAGAGACCGCAGGAAAGTTAGAATGTTCTTAAGCCCAGTTCCAATACTGTCCTTAACACCACCTGCCTCTACCTTCAGACGTGCAGTAAAAGACAAACCTCATGGTACTTACAATGTGTAACTGTTACTGTATATTGTAAACTGTAATTGTAAATGAGTATGACAGTTGCAGCATCACATCACCTACTGTATATGCAGGTTTTATTCAGGTGGCATAAGGCCACATTCCAATCAATTTTTAACCGAAACGTGATCTGGATAACTGGGTTGATTATTGGAGTCTGCAAACTTATTTATTCATTGTGTACAGAAATCAGTTCACACAGGCATGCCAGGAATAATATTTTTTTTATGCTGGATGCAGGGGGATGACATAGGCAAAGTGATTATATAAACAAAGGTACTTGTTTTTAAATGAAAATATGCTACTATACTACTATGCAATTCACTAGTAAGGACTTGGTTATCATTTTGGATATCAAATTACAAAAAGAGATCGCTGCTCTAGAATCAGTCAAAAGACAATTGACTAGATGCATCCCCAGGCTCAAAGGAATGCCCTACACTGACAGACTAAATGAAGTGAGTCTTCTTTAGGTCTTAAACAGGGAAAACCTTTGAGTGGACCTGATTCACATACAGGATTTGTAATCCACAAAGGAGCTGACCAAGTCAACCTGATGGATTCTTTAGACACAACAGTGAAACATGAACCAGTAGCTGCAAATGGAAACAAATTTAGTTTAATTTAAATCTAAGACCAAGAAGCACTTCTTTACAGCCGTTTAAAGGCTGTGGAAGTATGGAATACACTACTTTGTCAAAGCCAGTACCCTCACAGCTGGATAATATCCTCAGATCACTTACAGTATACTGTATTTGCATGTTATCTAATGTACCTTAATTGTGGTGTGTACAGGATAAAGTATGAATCAAGGCTTACTAAATATCTATCAAAATGCAAAAAACACTTGCTGGAGAGATTTTATTTAACTTACAGTTTACTGTCACGCGTACTGTCCTGATGTCTGGAGCTGAAACATCATTGGACGAGCTGCATTCGTATACACCAGATTGGTCTTTGGAAATTTCCGTGATCTCCAGGTATTCTCCCTCATTGACAAATCTCTGGCCTGGAACAAAAAAAGAGGAAAAGATCATTCGTGCAGAATCATAAACCTCCTCTCATCTTCCTTCAACAAAGAAACGAAGGATTTTACAGATGAATGGCTGGATAAGGTGCTCTGAACTCTGGTGTAAAACTATATTGGAATAAAATTTGAAAAGTCATAGAAAATAGATTAAAATAGGCACACTCAAAATCCCAGTCTTTTTATGAAAAAGTTAACCGCATCTCTGTTAAGGATTCCTTTCTCCTTACATATCCTTACATGGTTTGAAGACCATGGTAACTTTTGCAATAATGAGTCTAATAATGGAAAGCAGAAAGGAACGTTTGAGAGATTTTTAGGTTAAATCAATATTGTGAAAAACGCTCTGACATAAGTTGTAGAAACTAGTTGAAGTTCCTAGTAAATGAAAAGGCATTGTACTCCATTTGCCAACAAAAATTGATGTTGATTGAACATTTGTGTATCACTAAACGAAGCATTGCCATAGCAACTCCTTCTTTCCATTGGCTTTTAATGAGGTGGAGGAATACGAACTGAGACAGGCTATAAAAATGAAACAGTGCCCAAGAAATACTAATCCCCTACCTTCAGGCAAAGGGAATATTAAAATTCAACACAACACGTCATAAAGCTCCTTAAACCTCCTAAACCGACAATAAAGCTGCTTTTTCTTGCTAACCAATGTCATATCTGACCCAGACGGAGTGACGCCTCACTGATGGGACCTTCTAAGTCTGATGAGCAACAGGGAGTTGCTTGAAGGTGCATTTTTTCGTCCCGAGATGACCGACCAGTGTGTGCCAGTTAATGCAAACTCTCCATTATTTTAATCGAGGATCGTCGAACAGCCTGGGTCATCACGCTCTAACACGCTATCATTATAGTTCTCAAACCGAGTGGTCCTCTCATTGCAGAGCTTGAATTTAAAGAGACGCACAAGATCTGAAACCTGAACTTGAAGAACCAAAAAAAAATAATATTGGAATTTGAAATCTCAACAGGCTGAATCTTAGTGAATTTATCAAGATGTTTACCAAAAACTTTGCACCAGTTGAAAAAAAGGACACATATGCTGTTGAGTATATTGCTATTCTGGAAAACACTATTTTTAATGAGTTAGAATCTATAGATTCTGGAAGCTTTGGGAATTTGATACAAAATCGAAACACTGACTTTTTTTGCTGTTTTATTTTTTTCATCTTTCACATTGGGAAATGTTACACGGTAGGTATTCAAATGCCAAAAACCATAGAGAAGGACATGATCTCCTATGCCCAAGATGAACTTATTTGTGAAGCATGAAAAAACAAATGCATGTGAAAAAGTAATCTGCTAACTAAAGAGCAAACACTACTGAAGTGAAAGGTTCCCTATGATATAAAATAAACTAAAATCTATGCATTCTCATGTACTGTACCTGTGTATTTCATCTTAATTATATCTATATAGTATAAAATGCAATAGTTGTTACTTTGTTCTTTTTAAAATTTCATTGAGGGATGCACAGGTTGGATCCTGGATTTATTTAGATTGGGGAGTGTTTTTTTTATGGGTGCTATGGTTCCCTGCCACCTTTCAAAGACATGCTAGTTAGTTCTCTTAATTAAATGGTGAATATAAATTGTCTTTGTCCTGCAGCAGACTGCCTTACAGTGTACTTTTGAGATAGGTCATGGGTCACAACAACTCTTACCACAAATATATGGCTTTATAATATTGTATGGAGCTCCTTGAATATTGTGATTATCGGCATGACAATTTCATCAGTTCACATTTTTAGTGGTTAATCATCTTTTGAAGATGCTTAGAGCAGAAAAAATTGGTCAGCCTGCCTTTACTTATTTTATGGTTAGTTCACACATTTCAGAAGAGGGCACCTTTATACTGTAGATCTTTCACGGCTATCTAAGGTGAGAACTGCAAACTTTTACAGCCCCTGTATTCATACCTTTTAAACGTAAATGGCTGACATGTGTTTCTAAAGGCAAACTGATAGAATATTGAACTGCTGTATATTTTCAAATCTTAATTCAAGAACATTGACAATTAGAGACTCCAGAAAACAAAGTGCTGTGACAGCGCAGCAGCCAAGATGTTGTTGGCCAGCGCCTGTTAAAATATATTCTTTAACAACTGCATCATGTACAAACATTGCTGAAAAGCATGATCAAAATGCATTGCAATCTATACATACTGTTCAGTATGGTGCACTTGAGTGCACTAGTATGGTTTTGATATACCGTATGATCTCTACTTCCAGGAAAGGCATTAATCGGCAGGCATTCAAACTGAAGTGTAACTTTAGAAAAAGACAGGGAAATGACAGCCGTAGCCATCCCTTAGACACAAAATTAACCTATTGTATGTCTGTCCCTTTAAATGTAACTCATTGCAGCCGAAAAACAATTTACTGTAGTTCAGTGCAAGATTATTGTCAATTGCATGGATAAATGAGCTGCATCTGGGAACCTGTTATGGATTGATCTATCACACATTACTTTTTCCTTTGCTAAAAGCACCCAATATTTATCATTCAAAGTAATGAATTCATTACTAGGCAGCTTTGCATTTACTGTAATAGCTCATAGAAATTCAGTATATAGGTTTCTCTAACTTTTATCTGTTCTTTTTAGGACCTACCCTACTTATTTGACAGCTCTTTTTTTTTCTGTGGTGCATGTTACACGTGCATTACCATTGGATGTGAATTCCTTATCTGTAATTTTAAATGCCTGGCCCCATTTCTCAATGCTTTTTAATGATAAATCAAAGACTCTGAATACTGTACTTCCCTTTTTATTCCCTCCTGAACTAATCCTAGCTTGGGGTCTTTTAAATTGGGTTGCAGAATATAGTATTCATCAAAAAATCAAAATCCTGCCAAGTTTGTGCATTTTGGAGCAAGACTTTCACGAACATAGAGGTTGACAACTCTGCTGCGGAACGTGGCAATGTCCAGGAGATAGTCTGTGATTGCGACTTGGCAATAGCTGAAGAGCTGCAGCACAAATGTTAATTTGCTCTAGTTAAGTAATTAGTTATATTAGACATAAGCCTTTGCCTGACAGCTGTACTATGGTTTTAAACATGACCACATAAGGGTATCGTTATGTTGGGGGGAAAAAATAATAACTTTTGTTCATTGTTAATGCTGTAAATTGTCAGCTAAAAGCATCTGTAGTTATGTTACTTTTTTTTATATTATTATAGTCGTGTTATGGATATTAGAACTTTAACTGACATTCATGGGAGTAAACTTCTAAAGCAGGAGTGCAGTCTTCAGGGTTTCCAGTTCTCTAACCTGAGTCCTAACCAAACTAAAATCATTGTTTGCTTAGCTGGACATGTCTAAGCTTGGTCTTCAGAAGCTTGAGATTTAACAAGACCCTTAAAACCTGCTGACCAGTGGCCCTTGAGGACTTAATTCTACCACAGGGATATCCAATTTATGACTACCATAGGTCACTCTGGCCAAAGGCTGGCCAGTTCTGATCTAGCTCCACGTGGGCCTCCAGCCCTGTCCTGAAAAGTCATAGGACCTTGTGTTTTTCATTTCTGTTCCAGGACTCAATTATTTTACCTAATCAACATCATGCTTTTGATAATAGACATATCTTTGATATTGATTTCTAGCCATTGACAAAATATACTAATAACACTTGAAAGAGCAAGGCTCTGCAGGATCAGGGCTGGAGACTCGGTGTCACCTTGATGTTATTTAACAGATGTTCAGGAGCAGTTAAATTCTGATTTCACTCTTTCTCTTCCATATACCGTATAAATAGTCATTGGCTGCCCACAGTTCTGCAGCCATCTTTTCTAGGCCTTCTCCTTCCAACCCAAATGCACTCTTGCAGCTGCCTCCCTGGTTCATTCCTTGTGGGTGGGGGGGGGTGTTGACAACAGTAATCTTTGGTCAGAAATGTCATGTTTTTCAGCCAGACAAGTTAACAAGATGGTGGTCCAGCAGCTTAGAACCTATACCTACAGTATATACCTACAGTATATGTACAAAAAAACATTCCTCAAGGCAACCCCTTTCACAGCTCCTTTTAAACACCAGGGTAAGCCTGGGGGCCAAGAGCAACATTTCCAGTGAAACAAAGTCATACTGTAGATGCTTCTATGGGGCGACTGAAAGACTGAAAAACATGGCTGGCATTGGATTTGTGTGTGGCAAGGATTAAGCCGAGAGAGCCTGTTAAGGAGACTAAAAAAACATATACTGTAAAAAGTGTGCAGACTGTTGATTACCAGCAAGCAGATGGACCCACTGTATAAGAGAAGACCTTGGCAAAAGCAAATGCAGTGCACACACGCCTTGGATGTTATGAAATGAATGAGGCCATTTTGGCCTACTTCATAGGCACATTATGCCAAGACATTTCTCTGGCTGCCAGTCGAATTTCTTTCCCTTGACCTTAATAGCCAAATTAAAACAAAAAAAATGCGAAGAGCAGATCAAAATATCTCATAGTTTTAACTAGCCAATCAAAGTTTTAGATAACATGATTTGTTTAAATCTAGCGGAACTTGGAGAAAGATGTGCATCTTTCATTTGACTTCCTACAACCTCAGATATTGACTTCCTATGGTCCGTGTTTCAGAATTTATTTCGGATGAGTGGATTCTGTTCAAATTGCTTATGCTTTAAGCCTCTAACAAAATGATGAGGCATTATTAACACCCTCTCTTTGAGCTCCGTCTTTTGCTTCCATGACTTGAATTTCAACCGTGTAGCTGGAATGAAATCTGACAACAATAGCTGGGAAAAGGGAATCTGCAATTTTACATGTAAAAAAATAGGGATTGGACTATGAATCCACTTGAGGGATTAATGTAATGGTGAGTGACAAATGAAGATCAACTGATAAGATGCTAGGACCTCTGTGATCCAGGTGTCTTGGGTTTGAGCTGGGGTTATGTCACTAGGTACACCTGTCCAGAATATCCAAAGTAGCAACTGCCTGAGCACTGACATAATAAGGTGGAAATTAGGC